ATATAATAATATATTATTATATTTATTATTATTAATATAAATATATTTATATATTTATATTAATAAATATATTTATTTATTAATATAAATATATTTATATATAAATATAATTATTTATTATATTTATTAACTAATATAATTATATTTATATATTCTTTTATTGACACTCATTACCTGTCTACATTTTATTTATTTATTTATTTATTTATTTATTTATTTATTTATTTTATTTATTTATATTATTTATTTTATTTATTGTATATATTTTATTATTTATTTTATTTATTTATTCTCTTCTTTTTTGTTGGATTTGTTTCTTTTTCTTTCTCTCTCTCCCTCTAATAAAACAAATAAAATAAATATTTTTTATTCTTTTTCTTCTTGTTCTTTTCCTTCTTCCCCTCCTCCTTCTCCTCCTTCTCCTTCTCCTCTTCCTTCTTCCCCTACCCCTTCTCCTTCTTCTCCTCCTCCTCCTGGGGTGTACATCCACCTAAATAGATTTCTTAATGCTTTCTTCATCTTTAATTCAATCATTAATTCTATTTGTTGTTTTCCTCTCCATGCAGGAACCTTCAGGTGTACGTACACCACAAATATACACACAAGGGCAATTAACTAATTAATTTAATTAATTTAATTAATTAATTTAATTAATTAATTAATTAATTAGGTAAATATATAAATAAATAAATTATATATGATACATATACAGCAAACAAATACAGTAACACATAATAAAGGAAAAAGGGGACAGTAACAACAAAAAAAGGACATAAAAATAAATAAATAAATAAATAAATAAATAATAAATAAATTAAATAAATTAAATAAATAAATAAAAAGAAGAAAAGAAATAAAAAGAAGAAATAAATATAAATCTCCCCTTTTGCCAACTCACCGCAAAATTTGTAATCTTGCTGCTATCGCTGCTGCTGTTGCTGCTGCTGCTGCTGCTGCTGCTGCTGCTGTTGCTGCTGTTGCTGCTGCTGCTGCTGGTATTATTATTATTATTATTGAATTGTGCAACAAGAACAAGTGCTCCTTCTTGTGTATTATTAATTAATATATTTCCTCCTTTTTTTTGTATTATTTCTTTATAAGGAATTCTTTTTTCTTCTTCTTTTTTATTTATTAAATAATATAATAAATCAAAAGGAATCTCTATTATACGTTTCTTTCCTGTTGCTGCTCCTGCTGCTGCTGCTGCTGCTGCTTCTGCTGCTGCTGCTGTTGCTGCTGTTGGTGGTGGTTGTTGTTCTGCTGCTGTTGCTGCTGTTGCTGCATCTGTATTAGCAAGAGCTACACAACTATCACTAGGATCTGCTGCAGCAGCATTACCCGCTGCTGCTGCTGCTGTTGCTGCTGCTGCTGCATCGTCATCATTATCAGCAGCAGCAGCAGCAGCCTGAATAGATAAATAGATAGGAACAATCCATTGTGCAGCAGCAAAAGAAAGACGGAACTTTTTCTTGTCCTTATAATGCATAGATAAACAACCACTATTTATTATTTTATATCTAGAGGTGCCTATACACCCCAATATACGACGGACACCTGCAGATATAAAACTTATACGACGAGGAATTCCTCCTGCTGCTGCTGCTGTATCTGCTGCTGCATCTGCTGCTGCATCTGCTGCTGCTGGTGAGGAGGAGGATAGTGCTGTTGCTGGTTCTTCTTCTCCTGCTGCTGTTGGTTCTGCTGCCTTTGCTGATGCTTTTGCTGCTGCTGCTGCTGTTGCTGCAGTATATTGATTTATATCATCAGCAGTTTTTCTCCTGAAATAAAGATGTCTTAATAATTGTTGCATGCAAAGTGCATGCGTTTTGGGGCTGGCAGCAGATAAGGGAGGGAGACCAAGGGCCTCAAGGCATAAATCCCTTGTTTGCTGCAGTATATCCATGGTTAAATTATCATCAATATAATTCATATCTCCTGCTGCTGCTGCTGTTGTTGTTGCTGCTGCTGGTGTTGCTGGTGTTGCTGCTGCTGCTGGTGGTGGTGTTGCTGCTGCTGGTGGTGTTGCTGCTGCTGTTGTTGGTGTTGTTGCTACATCGTGAGGTTGTGACTCTGCAGCCTCTCCTTGTGTCTTTGCAAGTTGCTGTTGCTGCTGTAGCTGCTGCTGTTGTATATGCTGCTGCTGCTGCTGCTGCTGCTGCTGCTGCTGTCTTATTTGCTGCTGCTGCCTTATTTGCTGCTGCTGCGTAAGAAGTGTTTGTTCATCCCAATCTAAGCCAACCATATCCAATTGCATCTGAGATAAATCTCTTCGTCCTTGCATGCCCTCTCGTTGCTCTGAGCAGCAGCAGCAGCAGCAGCAGCAGTAGTAGACGTATTAGTAGTAGTAGTAGTAGTAGTAGCAGTAGCAGCAGTAGCAACAGTAGCAGCAGCAACAGTAGCAGCAGCAGCAGCAGTCTTCTATATATATGGATTGGTAGCAGCAGCGGCAGCTCAAGGGTTAGCAACAGCAATACATACAGCAGCAGCAGCAGCAGCAGCA